TCAACAATCTCCACCTGCTGGCTGATTTAAGAATATCTCCTGTGGCTGTCGCATTGATGTGACTGGTCTCAAGATAGAAGCTCCCATTAGTTAAAGTAATAATATGATTATATTTATAATGGCCTAGCAGCTTCTGACAAATTAAAATTCCAAGGCCACATTTCTACATTTATTCTCTTTTTGATATGTTTGAAGAAAGAAATAGTCAATGAGACTTGCAAAATCTGGAAGATAAACAAAAAAGATTAATCAAAAGTTCACAAGAACAATTTGTAAAGATAACTTTCTACATAATGACTGAAAAGTAATAATTTCACAGTAAAATGAAAAGAGAAATCTGTAGTGAAAGAGAAATCTGAAGAGCAAATCTCTTAGAAGTCACTTTTCACCAAGGTCAGGTAAAGAGGGAATTAACATTCATTAATTACAAGAACTCTCACTGAACTGGATGCTTTGGTGTGCTGCTAATTTGATTCTTGAGCATCTACATCCTCAAACCTAGAAAACTTGTTTGTTATTTTTAATGGAATCATGAAAGGTGGTGTACAAAGGGTTGAAAACGAAATGGAATATTGACATTCTTCACTTCAGTATTCTTAAATACCCCTACATGCCCATTAACAGGACGAAAAATATTTCATTAGAATTCTATTATGAATACAATATTTCATAATATTTCTATTAATTCTATTAAATATACCTTGGTTAACCTCTATTTCAGTACCAAAACTGTTTTCAGTTTAAGATATTTTTGAGGAACTTAAGTTAGTAGTTTTACGGATAAGCATAATATTAAATTCAGGATCAGTGTCCTATTTTGGCCAAACAGTGCACAGTATAATAATTCACTGTATATTAATGCTGTACTCATTGCTGTCAGATCAATTACAACTCAGAGACATACTATAGGGTAGGGTAAAACAGTCCTATAGGATTTAGAAGGCTTTAAATCTTCATGGAAGCAGTCTCCCTCATCACTTCCACAGACATCCTATGAATTGAAGCCATCAAATTCTTGGTTAGCAGCTCAATGCTTATTTTGTGATAAGGGGTCTCCACTAAAATAATTATCCCCCATCAATAATTTCTTTTAATCGGGAGTTCTCAACTGTTCTCATTGCACTTCTCTGAGACTGCAGATAGCCATCCTGACTGAATCTGGAGTCTCTAGTTGGAATCTTGCTGAAATTATAGCCTGTGTTCCTTTTGCTTCCCATCAAAAAGACAAGCAAATATGTCGTAGAAGAGGTGCAGCCAGGGTTCTCCATGGCAGGCAGGGATGTGGTAACTTCATCTTACATACTTTGAGTATGTTATTAGGAGAGGCAAGTCCTAGGAAAAGGACATCATGCTTAGGAAGTTGGAGGGTCAGCAAAAGAGGAGAAGACCCTCAAGGAGTTAGAATGACACAGTGACTAATGGTGGGCCCACGTGTGTCAGAGATGATGAAGATGGCACAGGATAGGGCAGGGTTCAGACTTGTAGTTCATAGGATTGCTATGACTCACAATTGGCTTCACAGCAATTAACAAAAGAAATAGCATTATAGTTCAATGGTAAGAAATTTTGCTGCCAAACCAAAGGTACATATTTTTTTTCGGTGAGACAAAGATGGACAATCTCCTCTTGTACAATTTACTGCCTCTGAAAGCCTGGAAAAGCTGGAGGATCAGCTACTGGTCAGTTTCCACTCAACAGTACACAACAACAATTATAGTGTTTGGCACAAAGTGAATGTCTTTCTCAGAATTTATTGAATGAATACAAAATGAGCATATGAGGGAATGGTATATATTCCTGATGGCAAGCATATGTATACTTTGCAGAAGCATGTCACGGCAAAATTCCCCTCTTAATATTCCGAACTGGTAAGATATGTAGTAATCTTTTATTGTATTGCATCATGAACTACAATCTTCCAGGCCAACCATTGATCAACAATCTCCACCTGCTGGCTGATTTAAGAATATCTCCTGTGGCTGTCGCATTGATGTGACTGGTCTCAAGATAGAAGCTCCCATTAGTTAAACTTGTTAGCCTGCATTACCACCTAACTATTCTGCCTAGTTTATACGTTGTATTTATATCTTTAAGCATAAGAACAAAAGTTTACCTCTAATGTCAGGAGTCCAAAGTTAACTGCCATTAAAGTTAAAATGTTAGCTTCATACCATGTTCTGATTTTATTCTCACAACCCTAAGGAAAAGATGTTAGATTATAAATAGTCTTACAAATATAACTCTAATACTAAGAATAGAAAATAAAGGGATGTAAACCATTTATTTGAATATAAATATTAAGTAAAGGGCTAACAAGCTTTTTGGTTGAAGAAGCTGAGTTTGATAGCTGGCCACCTCAGCTGCTACAGTTGAAGTTGTTAAGATGCTGTTACTTTATCGCTGTTAAGAATTTAGTAATTTTTTTGAAAAGAGATTTAGTTTTCTAAAGAACACTGACATTCAGTGGTCATACATGGGCATCTAAGATGATTTCTTAACAAAAGTGGGAGACATTTTGCAAAACATGTAATGTTCTATTTATCTATGGATAAATTCCATAATTAAAATATACATCTTAAATTAGAGTATAATCGGTACATGAACTTTAGAAAGCAGTAGCAGTTTTGAGATGAAAAATCTCTTATTTATCAATACTCCATACCTGTAAATAGCACTTACTTCTGATTGGCCTCTAGTCTTTCTTCAGCTATACTACGTCCACACAATTATTATTATCTCTGGGGTTGTTCCCTTCTGTTGCTGCCAACTCTCATACCCCTTTATCTCTGGTATTGTAACCCCTTAACTAATCTTATACACCAGGTATTTACCATTAAGTGCTTCCTTTTTCTATGGGGCTTTGGGAGGGAATATATATATATAAATGACATCATGATTGATCTAATTAGGGATTCGATTTCACGACAATGCTTCTTTACAAACTTCAACAACACAAAAATAACAATTTTATAAAAATTATGCTCAGAATTAAAAATAGGATTACAAAGACAATCATTATAAATAGTGGAGAAGTCTTATCTTTACCTCTAGGTAAGTTGAATTTAGTGGTTCATCACAAAACCATTTTCTTAGTGTAGAATTTGTGCAAGAACATGGTACCTGTTCTGAATTTTCTTTATTTGTGTTCTTTATCCAATCTGTGTAATTGTTTTGGCCACAGCACTGTAACTAAAGAAAGGAGTCCATGACTAAGAGACTATAATTATAAAATATTCACAATATAGTTAATGATATAATTATATGATTCTTTTTGATGAGCAAGAGAGAGGGGAGGAGAGTGAGGGAAGTGCAGGAGGAGGAAGAGGAGGAGGAGGAGGAGGGGGAAGAAGAGAAAGAGGAGGAGGAGGAGGGAGGGAGGGAGAGAAAGAGAGATGATTCTGCTCTGGTGGTATAGTCCATAGGGAGGTGCACCACTATCTCAAAGGCTGAACTTCTCCAGTAGACAGAATTCACCTCTGGCTCCACAGGAGAAAGACATGCATTCTTGTCTCTTAAGATTTACATCTTCAGAAAACCAACTGGAGGCTGAGCTATGAGCCTTAGGGATTTTGTTTTAATGGGAAAATAATTACTTCAAAAAGCGTATTTTCCATTTAACCCATTTACTTGCTGCCTCTGTTATTAACCCAAACTAAAACTATCTCTACTCAAACACAATAGGTTAAGTTTAGATAAAATGGGTATATCCAAGTTGAAGCTCCAAAGAGCTTCGGATAGAAGTTGCACCTATTATACTAGATCTGTAAAGTTAATTGTGTTGAGGATCACAGCATGGAACAATCAATTGTTCTGCTTATTGGCCCAGTGAGGATTTCTTTTCATTATTAAAATGTTGAGGGGCTAAGTTAGTGATCATATTTTTTTTTAATTGCTGTGAAGATGGAATTGCCTCAGAACTAACCCTTCAAAGCACCCCCAGGGGTGTAAATCATGAGAAACTTTCTTTCACTGAATTACTGGTGGATTCAAGCCACTCCAGAGGCACAACCTTTGGGGGGGAGCAGTGTAACTTCCTATGGACTGTGCCACTAGGGAGCTCACCTCAAGATCATATTTAGGGTATGTAAAAATGAAGGACTTTGGTTTTAAAGTTAAAAACTGGTGCTGTGTTTCTTAAACTCTCCAAAAGTGCCTCAGCTGCCAGATTTTTCAAACTCTCACAGATGTTTTTTGGCATCTTTTGTGTTGTTTGCTAAGTGCATGTGAAAACTGTAAAATAGAGACAAGTGCAGTTTATATATTTTCTAAATCTCCCATTTTTGTGAGAAAATATATATTGTATTTATACATTTTTACCTTGGACTTGGCTTGGTTTTGCCTTTAAAAGTCGACAGTGAAGCCCCACTTTATCACATGTACAGATTACAAATAATTTTTTTAAAAAACAAAACAAAAAGAAAATGAAGGATTAAATTAATCAGCTAACTCTACATATATTACCTCAGTTATTTCCTGGCTAGTAACTAACTGTGAAGTCACATTGTTGTTAGCTGCCGTCTCTCTGGTCCCTGACTCTCAAGGACACTAAGCCAACAGAACAAAGTGTTGTCCAGTTCTGTTTAACTTTCCTAATCAAATGCAGATCAAACCTTTTTGATCCAAGATTTTCATGGTCTGATTTTCAGAAGTACCTTGCCAGGGTTTTCTTCCTGGTCCTTCCTCATCTGAAACCCCAGTGAAACCTGTTCAGCCTCACAGTAACATCCAAACCTCAAGTGACAGAGAGGCAATGCTGACTGCATGTGGCATGTATTAGCTGAGAACTGAACCATGGTTCCTCACAAAGAAGGCAATACTATCACTGAACCCACCACTGACCCGGTGATGCTATTTAAATAATTCACTGTCATCAAGTTAATTCCAATCTCTTGTGTGTCAGAGCAGAACTATACTCCACAGGGATTTTAATGACTGATTTTTTTTTTCCATGAATGGATTGCCAAACCTTTGTTCTGATGTGCTGTGGGTTGATTCATGGTTGTAATCTTTCATTAGCAATCTAGTGCAATCTAATCCAGGACACCACACAACAGATCTAAACCCCATCCTATCCTGCACCATCTTAACACTTCCCGACACATCAGAGCCCATTGCAGCAGTTGCCATATCAATCCACCTGGCTGAGGGTTTTCCTCTCCTTTGCCAACTCTCCATTCTTCCTAGCATCCTGTTCCTCTTCAGGAAATAGCCCCTCCTAGCAACATACCATGGCATTCACTTCGTAAACAACATACCTCTGGAAACTCTATGAACTTTGATAAACGAGGATAGTTATAGAAAGGCTTCAGGCCTTTTGTTCATAGGGTCACTCACTATGAGTTGTGCTTATCTTGACAGCGATCAACAACAACAACAACAACAACATACCCAAAGTATGTGACGCGAAGCCTCATCATCCCTGACTCTAAAGAGCACTCCAGCTGCACGCTCTCTAGCACCTATTTGTTCTCTTGGCCATCCATGGGATGTTCAGTGCCCTTCTCCAACACCGCAGCTCAAGGGCATCTATTTCTTCTGTCATCCCTATTCATTACCCACCTTTCAGATGCACAACAAGTGATTGGAAAGACTATGGCCTGAGTCAGATGGACCTCCGTCCTCAAACTGACATCATTACTCCTCAATGATTTGGCGAGGTCCCTAATTGCAGACTTTTCCTGTGCAATGTGTCTCCTTATTTCCTCACTGCTAGCACAGACTGTTTTGATTTGTCTACACCATTTAAGCTCCCTAAAACATACAAAGCACTTACAAAAGTGTACTGGCACTAAATGTTTTTATTATGCTTTTGCTGTTGTGTATCATCAAGTTGGAACCGACTAGCTGACCTTCTAGTGGGTTTTCAGAGACAGTTAATCACATGGGAGGATATTACTCATCCTTCTCTCTCAGAACAGTTGGTAGACTCGAACAACCTGCCTTTGGGATTGTAGGATAGGTTCTTTCCACTAGGCTATTGGGCACTTAATTACTCACTAGGTGCTAATTTATTCCTCTAAACCATTTAGCTGATAATATTCCATTCTCTTTCACTGTACCTGCTGGAAAAAGTTGGCTTGAATTGTGAAATAAACATTACCCAAACACATTGCCCTCAGTTAAATACTAATTGCTAATGACTCTGAGAAGAATGGAAATCCCAGAACACTTGATCGTGCTAATGAGAAACCTATACCTGGACCAAGATGCAGTCATCAGAACACAGCAAGGAAACACTGCATGATCCAAAATTGGGAAAGGCATATGCCAGGGATGTGTCCTGTCTCCATACCTTTTCAACCTGTATGCAGAACAGCTTATCTAGGAGACTGGGCTCTATGAGGAGAAATGTGGAGTCAAGATTGGTGGAAGATTCATCAACAATCTGCATTATGCAAATTACACAACACTACTTGGTGAAACTGAGGAGGACCTGATGCACCTGCTGCAGAGGGTCAAGGACTGCAGCCTCCAATATGTATTGAGGCTCAATGTCGAAAAGACAAAGATTCTCACCACTGGACCAACTGGCAGCATCAGAATGGATGGTGAAGAGATTGAGATTGTTCACAGCTTTAGTTCACTTGCCTCCACAGTCAACACTCTTGGCACAGTAGCCAGGAAATTAAAAGTTGTATTGCCATGGGAAAGTCTGCTGTTAGGGACCTCTACAAAGTACTGAAGAGCAATGGTGTCTCTTTGGAGACTAAGGTGCATCTGATACAGGCCATGGTCTTTGCTATCACTTGTTATGCATCAGAGAGTTGGACAGTGACTAAGGAGGATAGAAGGAGAATTGATGCCCTTGAGCTGTGGTGCTGGAAAAGAGTATTGAGGGTACCATGGACTGCTAGGAAAACAAATAGATTCATCCTGGAGAGGGTTAAACTGGGTGGCTCCCTGGAGCCAAGAATTCTGAGGCTCTGTCTAACATACCTTGGACATGTCATAAGGAGGGACCGGTCCTTGCAGGGGACATCATGCTTGGGAGGGTGGAGGGACAGCGCAGGAGGGGAATGCCCTCTATGAGGTGGATTGATTCAGTGACTGTGGTAATAGGGATGGGTGTATCGGAGACAGTGCAATTGGCACAGGACAGAGCAGGGTTTAGGGCTGTTGTACATAGGGTCCCTACGAGTTGCAAGTGACTTGACGGCATGTAACAACAACAACAACAATGATCCTACAGAACAGAGTAGAACCAGGATAAAGTCTATACCAATTAACTTTCAAAAGGAGACAAAAGCTGGGAATGGGGGAAGCCAATACAGTGTTCCCAAGATGATAAATCTTAATGAAACACACTGGTGGGGTCAAACCTCCAGCATTTTGGTTAATAACTGGGTTTTTAACCATTGTGAAAACAGGGATTTTTTTTCCTTCCAACAATAACATGTATTACTTGCTAATGATGTACCAGATCTAAGGCTTTCTGGGGGCTAAGTGGGTAAGGTGTTGCACAGTCAACCCAGAGGCACACAGTTCAAATCCACTGTTTCTTGGGAGAAAGATGGGCAGAAATCTCCTCTCTGTGATTCTGAAAATGCACTGGCGGTTCAGCTATGAGTCAGTTCCAACCCAAACCACAGAATGACAACATGTATTACCCCTGGGAAGGAGAGACCATTATGGGTTGTTATATAAGCGTTCTTTTGGCAATCTATGGGAAGTTCAGCACTCTTCTCCTACACCACAATTCAAAGGCATCGATCTTTATTCTGTCATGTTTATTCATTGTCCAGTTCTCAGACAGATACACCGCAGGTGACTGGAAAGTCAATGGCCAGGATAAAGTGCATACCAATTAACTCTGAAAAGAAGACAAAAGCTGGGGGTGGGGGAAGCCAGGTGCACCATAGTTTTTAAATTGACATAATTTTTTCTTCAGTACTTTGGAAAGTTCTCTTACGACAGACTATCCCAGTGTTATATGACTTTTGATTTCTTGACTTCTGGTGTTGATTGTAGCTTCAAGTAAGATGAAATAACTGACAACTTCAATCTTTTCTCAACCTATCATGACGCCTATTACCCAGCCCAATGGGGAGGATCTTTGTTTTCCTGATGTTGAGATGTAATCCATATTACACGTTATATTCTTCAATCTTCTGCAAAAATTGTTTCAAGCCCTCCTCACTTTCACTATCTGCGTAAAGTAGGTTATTGAGTCTTCCTTTGATCTTGATGCCACAATCTTTTTCATAGAGTCCAGCTTCTTGAAAAATTTGCTCAGCATACAGATTAAATAGGTATGGAGACAAGGTACAACATTGTTGCACATTTTTATTAGCTTTAAACCATACATTGCTCTCTTGCTCTGTTTGCACAACAGCCTCTTGGTGTAGGTATAGGTTTTGCACAAGCATGATTGTTTTGGAATTCCCATTTTACCTTAAAGTTAGCCGTAATTTGTTATGATCTTCACAGTCAAATGCTTTTGCATAGTCAATTAAACAAAAACAGACACTCTTCCGGTATTCTCTGCTTTCAGCCAACATCCATCTTATATCAACAATGATATCCCTGGGGCCATGGGCTTTTCTAAACTCAGCTTGAACTTCTGATATTTCTGTATCAGAAGTATATCTGCTTTTGGATAATCCTCAGCAATATTTTGCTTGTATGCATATTAATGATACTGTTTGACAATTTCCACAGTCTGTTGGCCACTTTTTTTGGAAATACAAAGTTCTTCCTGTCAGTTAAATATGTAGTTGTTTTCCAGATTTCCTGACAGACTGGTGATCACACTGAGAGCTGTATGTTGTTTGGAACACATCAATTGGTATCTGACTGATTTCTGGGACCTTATTTTTGCCAATGCCTTCAATGCAGCTTGGATTTCTTCCCTCATTACCATTGGCTCTTGCTCATGTACTACTTCCTGAATTATCTGGGTATCAACCTATTCTTCTTGATACAGTGACTATTTATTCCCTGCATTTTCTTTTGATGCCTCCTAGAACATTCAAGATTTTGCCCATAGCATCTCTCAGTACTGCAACTAGAAGCTTGAATTTGTATTTTAATTCTTTCAGTTCGGGGAAATACTGAATGAGTTCTTTTTTTATTCTCCTCCAATTCCTGTTTTTGGACATTTGCTTTGTCTTCTTGAGTTGCCCTTTAAAATCTTCTGTTCATTTTTTCCCTTTGTTTGAGCTTCTTGATGCTCTGGTGCAATTTTCAGAGACTTTCTGACACCTATTTTGGTCTTTTCCTGTCTTTGTAATGACCTATTGTCTTCATCAAAGACGATGCTTTGATATCCTTCACAACTCATGTGCAGCCAAAGTTTTCCTTGAGGCAAGGATGATGAAAAAATTCATCTCATGTCCTTTGGGCATATTGTTAGAAAAGGCTGTTCCCTGGAAAAGGGCACTGTGCTTGGAAAGGTACAGGGTCAGCAAAGGAGACGAAGACCCTTAGCAAGACAGATTGACACAGTGGCTGCAGCAATGGAACAAATATATCAGAGATGATAAGAATGGCACAGAATATGACAGGATTGCTGCTGCTTGCTCTTGACTAGACAACACTTAAAACCACCACTACAACCACTAATAAAAATACTAAAGTTAAGACACTGACTTAGCTTGTCCCAGGTCCTAGAGCTACTGCAGCAGGTTAGAAATACTCCATTTGTGCTTTCTCAAAAAGTTGCAAATAGAGATTCCATTTGACTCAGCAATTCCACTACTTGGAATATACCCCAAAGAGACCATAACAGACATCCAAGCAGATATATGCACACCCATGTTTATCAAGGCTTTGTTCACAATAGCAAGGAGTTGGAAACAACCTAAGTGCCCATCAACAAACGAATGGATAGAGAAGCTGTGGTATATTCACACAATGGAAT